GAGGAATGGTCCTAAAAGGAGTATCAAGGACAAACAGGAGTTAGCCAGATGAAGAGGCAGAGAAGGAAAATCTAGGCAGAGAACGCCATGTGTCCAGAAGGGCTACATGTGCTACATGTACTTTGGGGATACTAAATGTAATGGTGTGACTTCAGGCAGTTCCTTCACCTATTTCCTCATCTATAAAATTGGGATGATAATATTGATAGTATTTATCTCACAGGACTTAAAATCATTTTTAAATGTATTTTTTATTTTTATTTTTTAAAGTAGGCACCATGCCCAACATGGGGCTTGAACTCACGACCCTGAGATTAAGAGTCTCATGCTCTACCAACTGAGCCAGCCAGGCAGCCTGATCTCACAAGATTGTTGAAGTCTAAAATAATTTGTGTAGAATACCGGGTACACATTAGGGACTCAATCAATGATAGTTCACCGCCCCCCCCCCCCCATTAAAGCATCACCATGAAACAATACTTTCAGATTTTAAAAAATGAATTTAATCTCTCTAGAAACAGTGCACCCATTTTACAAATGTTCACATTTGGTTTTTCGTTCACCAAGATGATGTCAGTACAGCTAGTGAGATGCAGCACACCACCCTTTGCTTCTGGAACAGAAACCAGACTGCAAAGGGCACTGGGCACAGAAGCTAATGGGACTCGGAATGACAAGACAAAAAGAGCAGAAACGGTTAGTGTGACCCAACATTCTAACATGCCTGTTACATCAAATATGGTCATTCGAGGGTGGGGGGCGGGAAGACAAACAAGGAAAATTCATTTGGGTACAATGTGATGCAGTCTGCAAACCAGTACTTCATCCCCAAATTAACAACGGCTGTATAGAACAAAATGCTATTTTAAAACACATGGTTTGTACAGGTATGTTTTCTCTTGTAGTTTTTGTAAAAAAGTATCAAAACCTTCATGTCTTTAAATATATATATATACATATACAGGTGGCTTTTTTAAAATTACTTTGTATAGCACAAAGTGTTTGCAAATGCAGAGGGTTTCTGCTGATTCTTGACTATGCACATGGTGCATAGCCTGAATGAACAGAGCTTCCTGATTTCTTATATTAACTGAAAATTTGAAGCTGTAATTCCTCCACCTCTTAAGTTCTCTGTGTCCTGAAAATCCCCAATACCCTAAAAAATACAGCGTGAGAAGACTCCGATACTCTATCTTCATGCATTGATGGGAAAGGAAGTTATTTACTCTGAATGTTTAATTGCTAACTCATTTAAATTCTGTGAAATAAAGAGTGTGTGGCTGGAGTTAGGGAGAGGAGTGAGGCTCACATTCCTGTGCTCTCTCCCGACTCCCACCAGCGCCTGACTAGACAGTGCTCGGGGTTCCCTCTGCAGACTACACATCTCCAAAATTTCATTTTCTCACTGTTGAGAAAAATCTCAGAGGCTCTTGACAACATGGAATGCTTCTGTGACAATTCCATTGCCCTTATATTCAAAGAAAGTCAACTCAAACGTATGAAATGCAGTCACTATTTCCCTTTGGCCACTGGAAAGCTTGAGGCTAAAGACTGTCCTGTCGGCAAAGTGCTGGCGATGCATCCTGATGAATTTTCCATGGTGCACTTGGTGCCTCGTACACAATAAATGTCTTAGAAATGTTTGCATAATTGAATCAGAAATTAAACATAAGTATTCTATAAAGTGCTTACGTTGAACCTGTCTTTCCATCCAGCCTCATTTCTTGCTAAGTCCCCCTTGAACCTTTTGCTCTTTATGATGAATTACATGCAGCTCTGTAAAGTCCCCATGCTGTTTCATGCCCTTGTGTCTCCTCTGCCCGAAGCAGCCTGGACACCCCTGTTTAGTTTTCAAGACTTAGCGCAAGGTCACTTCTACAATGCCCTTCTTGACCCCATTCCTCATCTCCTTGTGTAGAAGTGACCTCTCTCTCCTTTGTGCCTTAATAATACTCTGGAAAGAATCTATTCTTTTTGTTTCCGCATGACTTACTCTATTGTTACCGTGAACTCCTCCGTAAGGACAGAAAACATCTGCTTGACCTGTACATCTGCAGTGCCTGGCACTTAGTTGGTACCTAGCAAATGGTTTCAGTGAATGAATATACTGCAATCACAGAGAAAACTGGAAGGACCGATAGTACTTATTGCCATAAACTGAATTCCCATCTCATCTTGAGGTTAAAGGTCACGTCAACCTATTTTATAAATAATCATGCTATCAAGAGTAAATAAATAAAATTTTAGTTTTCTGTTTCTGGAAGGCTCTTTCTGCCAGTGTCTTCATAATTCCTCTGGAAAGATAGGCCATAAGATAGGTAGCAGGTTTGGTATAATATTCAGGCAGTTCAAAGTGGTCTCTTGGAGAAGGAAAAGGCCTGGGACCAGTTTCTTTTAAACAGAGAAGAAATTGTCTGATAAATCTTCTACCCGCCTGGCATTATCTCTAGGCTTCCTTCCAGCTCTAAAATCCAATGACTCTATGATCTGGGTATTGGCTGTAGATACATGGTAGCACTGGGGCAAAAGGCAACAGAAACGCAACTACACCTCAAAATGAGGCTCAGAAGCCTCCAAGACTACAGAGGGAGGACGGACATGACCTCCTCAGACTTCATCTTATTGACTACCATCCGACACGTGAGGATTCTGCAACTTGTCTTCTGTAGGTTGCTCCCACGGGCGTCTCTTTCAAACTGCACTTGTAACAGATTCAGGAAACATGGATGTCTCTGAGAAAGTTGTGTTTCGCCATCATTTTGAAGTCTCAGGCTGAACCATCCTGACTTTTCTCATTTTTTGTGTGTGTGTGAAGACCAGGCTCTGACTGAAACTACGCATCATTTCCCCAGGAAATTCTGTTTCTTTGGAGGCAGGCTATCGAACAAGTTGCTTGTTTCGTGTTAAGTCTCAATATTTCTTGTCATTTTTATTCAGTCAAAAATAATTTTACTTTTCATTCTTGAAAGAGTAGTAGTGACTAATTAAGCTCCATAGGAGTTGGCCACCTGTTTTTAAAATCCTATTTGGTATTGGTCATTCTAGGTCCAGTGCCTCTCAATGAATATTTCAGGACTATCAACACATGCTTATCATGAGGAAATTGCTTGTTTATGCAGAGCATGGTGCCGACGCTCCAGAACACAGCTGTTTTTGTCAGAAGTTAGGAGACCGTGAGTGATGTGGAGAAAGGTCCTAGGAACAGGGTTCTAGAACTCCAGAGTGCCTGCCTGGAAATTTGAAGGGTATCACGCTGGTAAGACATCCAAACTTCACTGAGTTGGGGGCAGCTGGGGGTGGGTGGTGTCAGAATTTGCTTACGTGTCTTGTCCCTGGCTGTCTGGTGGGAGTGACGTGGCAGAACAGCAGAGTTAAGAAAAGATCAGACCTTGGATAAGAGAGCCAGTGGGGACAGAATTCCTCTGGGACTATAGGATTATGTTTTCGATGGTAGACCCCGCAAAGAGAAAAGAGCATTTCTCCCGCCTCTCCCAAGGCCCAGGAAAAACAAAGAAAAGTGTCCATGATGAAAAAAAAAAATCTATACATATACCCAGAGTTTTTCCTTTTATTTACAAAGCAGTAAACCAAATCCCTGTTTGAACATATACATCCAATATACTATAATGTTGTGTATGCCATGTCTCCCTCAGTAGGACTTCAAGTTTGGCCACTTTCATCGATATGAACACATGATGGTAGCAAACCTATGTTGTATTCCCCACCTAAAGGAAATGGTAGAGAGTAAAGGAAGGGAGAAATAGAGATGTAACAAAACCTATTCCACTGTCCTTATCCTTGCTCACAGCATATCTCAGAGGCTGAGCATATCTCGGTGCCTGAGCCAGTCTCTACAGTAAACTTGGGCTGTTCTAGAAACGTCTTCACTTAGCTCTCTACAAGTAAGGATGGCATCCTAGGAGTGCTTCAGAGGAAACATAATGAAGTCAACCCAAGCATCCTGAAGGAAAATGCAGTTACTTGAAATGCTGAGCTTTACAACAAGGAGTAGCCGAGGTTCAGGCACGTTCTCATGTGAGCTCATGAGACCTCCTGGCGCCGTGCAAAACCTGTGCACTGGCCTCAGTCACAGAAGAGAAAGCCCAAGTGGGAGTCACGGCAGCCACAGGTGAACTGCAAGGCCTTTCATGACTGACTGGGGTCCTAGAAATTGCCAGAGGTGGAAAAGATCTGCTTCTCCCACCACATGTTTGCCCAAACCATGGCATCTGTTTTTTGAGCCAAATTTCCAAAGGCTTCTCTGAAAACCACAGATACCCCTCTGTGGACTGTTTTACAATATACTTATCTTTATGTACTTGAACAACAGCCACAGGTGCGCCTCTTCTCTACAGATTTCTCTCTCTCACACACATACACATATAAACGTAAATGCACACAGAGTCTGTATGGTGGACCAATCATACCAAAAATAAATACTCTTGTGTCTCTAAGTTATTTATAGAACTAATCTTCTTTTTGAAATATGTTAATAAATAATCTAAATGGGGGAGGGAGTTGAAGTATTTTTTTCTTCTTCTTCGTCTTTTTTTTTTTTT